GTCTACTTTTTAAGTGTTCTCACAAACTCAATGTGGCTATTGAATTTGTTTAGAAGAGTAAGTCTCAAATGTTAGCATGATTAGAATCACCAGAAACAGGAGGATGCTGTTAAAATGCAAACCCACATACTCTCTCACTAGGGAAAGTCCTCTGAGGGCTCAGAAACTTGCATTTTAACAAATAATAGTACACTTCAGGTGTAATTGGCCCGTCTGCTCTATAGGTGAAACTGAAATGAGAGAAGGTGGATTTGCATTTACAAACGACAGGCTTGGAGAGACCCAGCTCTGGAGCATTATTCTAAATCCTTCCTGCAAGACTGACAGCCATTTATAGCTGTGGTTAGGCTGGATTTTGTATTTTGGAAAATTCTAAATAAGTGCTCAAGTGTTCAGCACAAAGAATCTTGGAACTATTTGTGAGATCAAAGAGAAATGGAAACCATTCTTGGCCATAAATTGTACAAATTGTTTTCTGGGCATCAGATAATAATTATAACATCTATCTTAGTAAACTTGGGCAGATGGTGGGCTTATTCTTTATTCAACTTTGCATCTGGGGGTGCTTTACATTATTACTTTAAGAGCAGAAACGTGAGCTAATGGGGTATGAGTTCAGTGGGGCGATTCGAACCCCCTGCTAATTCAGAGTCACTGTATGGTTTGAGAAATATCCATCTCGTAGCCCAGAGTCACACACCACTCAGCCTCCCTTGATTCAGGAGAGACCCACAGACATGCCAAACCATTCTTAGGAAGCTAGGGAAAAATAATCCTGCATTTTCACTATTTAGATGGGGAAACTGAGGCTCAGAGAGGTGCCACAGCTTGTCAATGATACAACCTGGCTGAAGCCAAGCCAGGATTCTCATCTGACCACGACCCAGAGTCCTGTGTGTCTCCCAAGAAGTTACAGCCATGCAGAAGCCTCTCTGTTTCGCTGCCCTGTGTATGGGTGACTGAGATGGTCTTCATCTGTGCACCCCTGAGCTTGTGGGTGGAGGGACAGGCCCAGCAGCTGAGCTGGCTGCCTGGGAATCTCTAAACCAAGGGTTCCTGAAGGCTAGGTACTGGGGCACAGTCAGGATCCTGTCCTGAAGGTCAACAACTCAGGGCGGGTGAGGTATCTCCCTCTATTTTCTAAAGGGAAGAAAACTCCCAGAGATTGTACAAACTTCCAGAAGCCGTACTGTATTTGGTGAAGGAAGGGAGAGGCTACTTTACAGAGCCGGGTGGTGGGCAAGCAGGAGTCACAGTAGTAGTATTGCTCATTGCTTCAACAGTAAATGCTCCTGGTAATTACTCTTGAAATTATTTTATGACAGATTCCACAATTTAAAATAATGTATTTCATAATGAAAAAAATTTAAAAGGAAACGAGACGTCAGAGGAAGAACAGAGGCTCTTATCACAGTGTGGTGGAGTAGACATTTGAAAGAGTCTTGCTGCAAGATGAGGGGCAGACATGCTCAGCACAGAGTTTACTGTCCCCGGAGCAGCTGCTGGCTCTCATAACAGCTAAGGATTCATTCACGGGAGCCACATTCCACATTCCATCCTATATATACACTGAGAGAAGTTCCCAGGATTTAAAAAAGCGCAACTGAGGCAGGAGAAAGTGTGTTTGAAATCTCAGCATGGAGCAAGACTTTTGAATGACAGGTCCAGAAGCCACCCCCACCCCTTACCCCCCACACACAAAGATAAATTGCACTAGAAAGTGAAAAATCTGCAGGAGTAAAAAATAACATCTGCAAGTTCCAAAAAACAAACAAAAATCTGGGGAAAATATTTGTAATCACACCACAAATAAAAGGGCTCATTTCTCTAATATATAAATTAATATGAAAAAGATCAACACACCAATGGAAAATAGAGCAGTTAAAAAAAGAATTACAGATGGCTTTTCATTGCATCTGAGAACATGCTCAAATTTTACTGATAAGAAGGAAAATGCAAATTCAGATCGACTCCAGCACATTCTACCAATAAGCAAAACATAAGGAAATTGATGAACGCTGGTAGCAAAGGCTCTGGGGAGCTGAGGACTGGGGGTGCTCAGAGCAGAACTCCCTCAGATGCTCAGGCCTCCAAAGAAGTGCCACCTTGACACAGTGGGTATTTCCAGCTGCGGTGCACCGAGTCCCTGCAGCCTTAGGAAACTATACCTCTCCCAAAACTGCCTAGAAGAACGCAAATTGGGGCTACTGCCCAGAATCAGGGGTATTGCCAGAAGTAACCTTCCTGGTGGAACAGTCCGTCTACACCGCAGGACACCTGAAGGCGGAGCAGCAGCTGCCTTTGCCTGGTGCACCACCCTCTCCTCATCACGGAGCCCCTGCCTGTCTCCCTGAGCCCCAGGCCCCACTCTCGTTCCTGAGCTCAGTATATCCCCTCATCTGTCCTCACTGACATTACGATGAGGATTCCCCAGAGTTACTTAACTAAGTGGGTTTTCTCCTGCTAATCTGCCTGACGCTAGTTTATAGATTAGACCCACCCAAGAAAAACCCAGAAAGGTAGGGAGCAATTTTCCCTCTGTCCCTACAGCACTGTCATACACTGAAGGGGTCAGGATGAGTTTCCTTTGGCAGGAAGGGTGTCCATTATATGTGGTCTTTGATCCAGCATTTCAGTAAGTTTATTCTACGAGGCTCATCTACAAAGACAGTCATTGCAGATAGTTTGCAACAGAAAAAGACTGGAACCAACCAGATTTCTCTCAACAGGAGCCCAAGTACACACTGCTTGGTACCTACATGCAACAAAAACTATGAATCTGTAAAGAATTCAACGGAAGGAAGGAGACATGAAAAACTGTAAGTGTGGAAATCAGGGAGCTTGGCAGCATGGCAGGCTGTTCATTGTTTATCTTTTCTATACGCTTTCATTTTTGAATGCACATGGATGATTTATTCAAAATCACATTTAAGTAATTAAACAAGGCATCGTTTTAACATGTAAGCAGCTTCCCTCGACATCCAGCACACTAACACTGAACGTCCAAATGCATGTCAGAGGTATCCTCACCGCCGGCACCTGTGGGGATATCCCCTAAAATCAGACTCACACCCCTTTAGCTCTTGTCTGCATGTAGAGTCACAGATACAGCACCCCCCTTCATGGGGGGCGGGGAATGACTATCAAGTAAACCCACCATCTACAAACCCAAGTTTGTCAAGATAGATGTTATGATTATTACGCGGCTCCCTGAAAACAATTTGTACAATTTATGGCTAAGGATGGCTTCCATTTCTCTACTCCTTTTTGTCTGTATTGTAAAAAAATTGAAAAAGAAAGAAAATGACCCACTCTGTGCTCTGGGTGACAGATGGATGGAGGGGGGCGGGGTGCAGACAGGCGTCCTTTACATTTCTAACTGTCCACATTCATGCTCATGGTCTGCCCAAAGTGACCACCATATAGGATTGTGAGGAGACCACGGTGGAAATGCACTAACTTCCCCACCCACGGCTAATCTGGAAAGTCCTGAAATTCTGGAAGGTCGGTCTTTTCTGGTATCTATCTGGTATACATACGTATATGTACACACTGTATGTACATACCCCACATGGTACAAAAGACACACCGAATGCCCTACAAAGGAAGCTCTGGCTTTGGGAGGGCGCATGGCTGGAAGAGACTGGGAGCAGGAGGCTGGGGGTTGGGGCAGGCCGGGGGGTGGTGGTCTGCTGTACGTCATCGAGCACGTACTCAGTACCTGTACCCTTCCTGCATTTTGTGCTGCTTTTGTAAAAAGTTTATCAAATCATTCCAAGCCAGCGTGAGCAGTGTGGCAATGAGATGCGTCCAAAGCCTTCTAATGAAATGCTGTGCCAGGAGCTGTTGCAATACAGAATCCAGAGACACTGAGGGGAACTAAGAGCTATCGGCCTCCAATGGCCTCCAATGGTGTCGGGGGCCCTGCCCCACCAGACACAAAGGAGCAGCAAGGCTGTGGGGAAAGGGCTGCAGAACCACCCCGAGGAAGGGTGCTGGTGGGCTGCTGAGAGAATGCCCTGCCGTCACGTTTCACAGTCGAGGGGCCTGACCGCTCCGATGCTCTGCGCAAGTCGATTTTCTAGATAAGCAAAACCTTCCTCTTTGAACAACAACTTCATTTAAAACAAAATCATTTTTTAGTGGAACCCTTTCAGAAATGCATTTCACACATCTCTGCTTGTTGAAGAGTTCGTGGAATGGATGTGCACCTTTTCACTGAACGATAGCGCCCACAATGAGGTCCCTCTGCGAGCCGGGCACTGTCCGAGACGCTTCCATCAGACTTCCCTTCTTGACCTCACCAGGTCCTATGCGTTGGGGCCTGTTATTATTCCCATTTCATGTAGGAGGTGGACAGCAATTAAGTATCTGTCCCAGGGCCTTTGCAGCAGGGAGAGGCATCCTGATACTAAGCAGCCTAAGCCCCCAGTCACTTTTCCTCTTTTCTTCGGGGCAGCTTCAGCAGGGTCTCCCACTGCTGCCCTGGGGCGGGGGAGGAGAGGTGGGGGTGTTACCCACAGGTAGACCAGAACGCTGACTGTACCTTTCATGATTATCTCTCCAGATTCCTTTCCCCTTCCACCAATGTTACACTATTAGTTTTCCCAAAAAATTCTACTCCAAAAACTTGAAAATCAGAAAATCTATAGCACTTTGCATTCACCACTTTAAATAAACTGTCGGCCTCCTTAGATCTTTCTGTTTGGCTAAAATATCCCATGGAGTTGAATCAACTTCTTGATCGGTTTAAGGAACCCCCTCTGGCTTTCTGCATTTCAAAGTGTCTTGGATTTGCTTTTCTTAAACCCAACTCAGAAGGAAACCTGTGATGCTGTCAGATTAACACAAGTTGCGGGCACCTGGGGGCCCTTCTGGGCGCAGACCCTCTCCAGATAACACAGGGGTGGGGCAGATAAGCACTGGGCAAGTGGAGAGCCATTTTCCGGAAGGCTTACAGGCTGGCAGGCCCGTGGAGAAGAACACAGCACCGTCCTTACCCGGTTTTCAGGCTGACCAAGGCGTCCTCCACTCCCTTCTGGTTAAATTTGGTCATGTACTGATGCATGTAGGGGTAGTTATTCCGAATGTTTCTCTCTGTGCTTCCATTAGGCACGGTGCCAAATCGAAAAGGTGGGGAATAGTCGTGGGGTCTCTGAAACTAGAGAGAGAGGGAGAGAGGGCAGTCAGTCATGGCTCTGTCAGGAGTTACACAAATACTTGCCTCAGTGCAAGACCACAGAACCAAATCAAAACCAAAACATTCTATCTGGAGCTTCTTTTCTGCTTAACGACATCTTCCACTCATCCGGCTGCTCTGGGAGGCCGGAGGCAGGTCTGTCTTACCTGTGCTGCAGCCCCGTGCCTCACACAGAGACTGTTTGGGGGTGCACCCATATTTGTTGAATTGGATTTGTCGGTCTGGCCTCCCCCCAAATATTCAGATAGGCTTTTCCCAACATGTGTCGCCTTGGCATGTGGAGCCTACGTTCGCTCAGCGAGAAGGCCACCAGGTGCTAGGTCATTTCTTCAGAAATAACCCTCAGAAGGCAAGGTTTGGCATGGGGAGTCACTCCCTCCACACCACTGGGTGCCCTCCCCTCTCTCCTTGGTGCCCAGGCCCCGCTTCTATTCCTAGCTCAGTCATACACTCCCGGGGGGCTCCATTGACTTTAGAATTTACAGTCATGTCCCTTCTTGACACATGTGAAATAAAATTCGGCCTTTTTCTGCTACTAATCTTTCTTTGTTCATGTGTTTATTTGCCCTGCATGCGAAACACCCAGAGGGATGGGGGACTTTTCTCTGGCCCCCACAAAATTTTTGGTCCTGCCTTAGTGATGGTGCCCAGGCAGGGCTCAGAAGTGCCCACGGAGCTAGAATTAAGATTGGACTTTAGTTCAGTTCATGCATGTGTCTCATAATGCAATGTTCTGTGGTCCTCGCTTTCACTCCCTTGTCTGAACTCCACTCACCAGGTGTTCGATGGACCCAAAGAATGAGAAAGGGGAGCAGAATCTGTACCTCAGATATGCCTCTATGGCCTGGGTATTATTTTAGGCTGGCCATTCATTTATTTTTTAAAGTAGGCTGTTGCCACACACTCATTCATGCACCAAGGCAGTAGTTTTTGGGGCCCAGCCAGAATGGCAGCTTCATGTTGAACTCAAGTTCCTACTAACCTTAGGGGATGCCCACGTCTTGTTCCTGAGACTCCGAAGAGGCTGGTTCCCAAGGCCCCTCTGATTGGCTGATGCTGTCTTTCACAACTGAGCGCTTGGGGCAGCCCAACCCAAGGAGGAAGAACAAACCAGAGCAAATGTGGGCTCGTCTAATCCTCCTGACAGCCCTGCCAGGTAGCTCACCTAAGGGGCTCCAAAATTTTACAGGTGAGGAAGCAGGCTTGGAGAGGTGATGTGTCCTACTCATGATGATGCCTGACGTTCACACCCAGCCATGTCTGTCCACAAACCAATGTGAACTCTCATTCCTCAGAGACCACTGCTAGTGACCCCTCCTCTTTCAGAGGGCAGGACTGTGAGGCCCAGAGAGGGCAAGGATGCCACGTGTCCAGGGCAAAACCAGAACCAGGAGGCAGACTCCTCCTGGCCTCCGAGGCAGGCATGTCTTTCATGGAACTGAGAACTGCCAAAGAAAGCATACATGTTTGCTCCAGAGCCAGACTGGCCATTATTCTTTTCTTCAGATTCACACTTCATTTCACTATTAATTAAAATTTCTAGTGCAAGATGATTTTCCCTAAATGAGGCATGCTGCTTCCTGGGAAGCAGTCACAACTGGATTTGGGGGAAGAGGTCTTTCATTGCCCAAATGAGCTCATCTTCCTGATGGGTGCCCTGTGCTGGGGTGTGTGTGAATATGTACATGTGAGCGTGTGCGTGAACAGCAAGACGCTCTGTGCTCACTCCGACAAGCAGAGCCTCAAGTAGTCCCCAGGAGAGGCAGGGGCCAGGCCCAGGCTCCCTTGATGGCAGCTCGGGGGCCAGAGGCACGAGCCGAGGTTGTTGTCCATAAATCTAGCTGTCTTAGCAGCCCACTCCTGATCTCCAGAGCCCTGGGGGGGCCTACTTGACGAAAGGCCTTCTACTTCACTCCCCATCTGTTGCACCAGAGCCACGCATTCTCCCAGTTCTCTTCCCTCCTGCCTCAGGTTTGCACAGTGACAGAGACAGATATTCAGTCTCAGTGATGAATCGCCACACTCCCTGGCCCTGACTGTTCCGTCACCCACACAAAATTCAACCGTGCACCAAGATCCAGAAACCTTTCCTGCTAGACTAACGGCTGTCAAAATTTTTGAAAGCATGACTCACAGAGCATTTTCCAGCTCTTTCCTGTACATGCTCTCACACACACACCCAGTGCACACATGCACGCACACACACACTGCACAGATAACTCTGATGTTATCTATCATGTTCTAGTCTCTTAATGGCCACAGACTTTAAATTAATTTCATGGCTTGCTGACAAGTCACAACCTATAGTGCTCAAAGCAGTTAGGGCGAGCAGGGTGAGGCTCCCCATCCTGGCTGGGCATCCAGGACACACTCTTTTCCTGACAGGAATGATGTCTGCTGCAACTTTCCTCCTAAGAGTTCTGTGCACAAACAGAAAGAAACAAATGAGAGCTTCAGCAAAGACAAGGGGGTGCAGATGTGCCCCGTGTCAGCGAGACCACAGCGCAATGTCATCAGTGCCCAGGGGCAGCACTCCCTACAGCCTCCTCTAAGCTGCAGGCTCAGGAAGTCCCTCAACCCTCATTCACGTTAACTGGGTTCACCTGGCCTTGGGCTTCAAGCAGAAAGTTTCACCTGCCATTTAGGAAGCTAGTTAAGCTCTCTCAACTCAGTTTCTCCATCAATAAAATGCTGGTTGACCTTGCAGTTAACCATGGTGCTCGAAAGAACACTTGGCATCCTGTAATGGTATACATACATTCCCTCCTCACGTGTGTTACCCAGCGTGACTGTGGTCAAAGAATAGAGTCAACTGCTTTCTGATTTGGATGACAGAAGAGGGTTATATTCTAATATTGTGCTGTTATTTCCTGTTCAATCTGTGAACAGGCTGGAAGTCACCTAAATGAATGAAAGGCAGAGTGAGTGGTGATGCCCAAATGCAGTAACTCACTAGGACGTCTCTTGGTTTCCCTTACAGATTAAAACAAACAAACAAACAAACAAACAAACAAAAAAACACGGATCATTTACTAAAAAAATGTCTTCTCTGACTCTAAATAAGGGGCATTGGCAACTGAAGCCGCTACCTCTAGGGTTTTCTCCCACTGGTGAGATCCTCACAATCCTGATATCAGCATTAAACAGAGGTGGCCCCCACTGGAGGCCCTGTTAGGTCAGTAAGTGGGAGACCAGACGCCCCCAGCTGCAGAATCAGGAAGCCCAGACACAGTACACGCCTAGGAGAACACAAGCATGGGCTTGTCTGCCAGGCGAAGAGCCAAATGCCCTCCTCTGCAGTCCCAAAAGGCCATCTTGGTGCAGAATCACTTCCAAGCCCAGTAGTGAGGCATGGGTCATCGGGGGTGATGGCAGTGAGGAGGAGGGGGGAAGGGAGACCAAGGTAAGGAGAAGGGACAGACAGTGGACTGGGGAGTGGAGAGAGAGGGCAGGGAAAGAGAGGGGGAGGAGAGTGTCACTACAGCGAAATGGTTTAATTGGTCTCAGATGCTAAGAGCACAAAAGAGAGAAAAAGTCTTGCAGAAGAGAGAAAACACACGTCTAAACTTTTCTCCGAGACTCACTCTGCCGACACAGCAGCACCTGGAGGCTTAGTGACTAACCTTGAGCTGAATCTGAAGGCCAGCTGGAGCCAGGAGACTGCTCACACGGGGTGTGGGAGCCCCTAGAACTGAGGGACCCACCAATAGGAACTCAGAACTCCAGTGATGTGGGGAACAGCCTCTGCATGCCCAGTAAATTCAGCCATGCCTCTGTCCTCTGCTCCTAACCCAGTTTGCAGGAAAAAAAAAAAAAAAAGCTCCTGGGCCTCTCTGGTGGCGCGGCAGGTTAGAGCGCAGCACGGAGAAGCTGTCAGCAGCCTCTTCTGCAGGAGTTAGATCCCTGGCCAGGGAGTGACCCACAGGGTGCGGCAGACCTCTCCTGTCTCCCCGCTGCTCCCCTCAGCAGTGTAGTGTGTTTCACTCGATCTGCCTGTTCCGCGCCCCACTCTGTCTCTACCGAACCCTCTCGCTGCCCCCACACCTCTGGCCTGTTCCCCAGTTCTGTGTGCATAAACAAATAAGTCTTTAAAACTAAATTAGCTCCTTTGTTCTCAACTCCAGTGCCCCCAAATGTGTATAATCGCGTTCCCTTTCCTAATGAGAGGGGCAGGTCTAAGTTCACCTCTGTCTTGCTGCCAGTGGGTTCACGAGGACACCGCTTTCCCTGCTGAGACCCGATGCCCTGGTGACCGGTTTCAGCGCAAACTGGGCAGTAGCTCACTGCTCAGTAATGACACTGACATGCTAAAATCCACCATGGGCCAGGCAGTGTGAGGATTATTCCTCATTCCGTATCAACCTCGCCAGAAAGGGATTAATATTCGCCCTTTACTAGGCAGTTAGGCCGCGGGGATCCTGCCACACGGCCACCGTCTGGTAAGGTCAGGACTGAACCCAGGTCCGCCAGGGCCCAGACATGATGCTGCTCTTCCTGTCCCCCAGGGACGTTTTTCTGCACCACAGTGACTGCCGACATTTTGCAAAGAGTCTCCAGCAACACTGCAGTTCTCCCCTATTAATTCCCAGGGGAGCATTTATCTATGAATTTAACTGTTTATAGTTTAAATCCAAGCTCATCTGAGCACACCATGGATTCCGGAGGTTTTATTTTATTTTATTTTTTCACAGAAAGCATGATACTGCAAGTGACTTGTAAGTATCGTAAACCTGAGTTGTTATACTGAGTAACTGTGATTTAAAAAAAATAAAGCACCAAAGAAAAAACACAGGTGCGCAGAATTAAAATAAATTGATTCAATATAGATTTTTATCTTTCAAAACTTCTTGGTATATCTGCTATTAATCTTCTGGGAGCATTTAGCTTATTTACTCCAAGAATTTTGCTGTTTATCTCATATTATCAAACATTTAATTAAAAGAGGTATCTGCTTGCTGCTAATGCTCTGAGCACAGAAACCGAGCTGTGTCTCTTGAGGGTCTTGGATCTCTTACGAGGAGTTTCCAAGTCAGAGGAGGTCAGTCAAATTATTAGTGGTTGTAATTAGTTTTCCCACAAGCAGTCCTGTTATTCAAACCCAAAACCACATAGCCAGGGTTTATTTTTTTCCCCTAGCCTCTGAAAATAGCAAAGCAAAGCAAGATACTCTGCTAACTACTTTCTGGAAAACTCGCCTGGCCCGGGGCTGGGCTGCCCACTGTACCTCCCACTGCTTCCTCCAGGACTGGACTTGCACCTGGAAGCGATGGCCTCACCCAGCAAACAGTGCTTTGTGCCTGCGAAGGAATTTCGAGGCTACCAGGCACTTTTATGTCTGCAGCCTCTGCGATCTTCACGGTGGCTGTGATCGCCAAGATGCAGAGGCCGGAGGAGGCAGGGAGGGCCCTGTGACTATAAAACACCACACAGGTCATAAGTGGCACAGGGAAGAGGGAGCCCCACTTGGCCCACTGAGCACCTACTAAGGGCAGCGCTTTTCCTGCTGCCTGGCGCTGCCACACAACCCAGGGGTTCCGCCAGAAGCCGGCCCTGTGCCGAGGAGCTGGGGAACGTGATTTATTAAGGAAGGGAGAGCCAGGAAGGAGGACAGGGGACGGGAGGAAACCGAAGTGTGGTTTCAGGCAAGGTCTCAACCTCACTGAGCACCTTGAAGGGGCCCTACAGGCACATAACGCCCGAATCGGCACCGCTGAGATGCCATGGAGCGGCCGGGCCTTGTGCTCTCCACAGGGCCGCGCTGGCTGCGGTGACTGGAAGGATGTGGGGCTGAGACCTCTGGGCATTCACCGCCCAGTGCGCAGGGTATTCGCCCTGTGAGCGAACCTCTGCCAGCAAATGCGGGGCTGGGTACAAAGAGCTGGATTCGGGGACCCGGGGGATACAGGGTACCTAGAGTGTCACCCCCCATGTGCAGCTCTATGTACCATCAGGGCGGCTCCCAAGGGCCAGACAACATGCTCAAACCCTGCCCTGACAGCCCCCACAGCCCCCCACGTTTCTCTCAGCAGCTCTCTCCGCTACAGCACTTACTCCTGCCTGAATTTTCTCCTCCATCTGCTTGTGTGTTTATCTCTTCCCACTAGCCTTTCAGTTTCAGGGCAACACAAGCTCAGGCTGCCAGGTTCACCCCAGTGGCCAGGACAACATCTCCAAGACTTGAGGCCTACAAGTCGAGGAGGAGCAGCTGTGAGAATAACCGAGGGAAGAACGTGCTGGAAGGTAACAGAGTAAGGGTCAGCACACGGCAGCAAAGCAAAAGTGGAGGGAGTAAGGAACAGGGGAGCTTTGTCGGAAAGAGGAAAGTCCCTCGGGGTGAACGGGGCCCCCATGGTGCCGAGAGTGGCACCTGCTCAAGCTACGGGGAGAAGAGGTCAGCGACGCCCCCCTCGGCCCACCCACAGGAGCAGTGACCCTATTGCGGGGGTCACCCCCCAAGCCCTTGGTGTTAGTGCTCTCCTGACATCTTTCAGCCACAGCATATGTCATGGAAAAGCTATTATGGCTTTTCACAGCCTGATTTTCCATTCAGCAGTTTGTTGATGAATGCCAAAAGGATAGACGTAGGCTGATGTCAACAAGACACGAAGTGGAACTTTTTAAAGAGAGACAAATTAGCCACACAAAACCTGCGCTGTGCTGCAATTCGGACGCTGCTGAGCTTAGCAAGTCGGGGCGTCAAATCTCCATAAGAGGCTACATCCAATCTACCTCCTTTCTTCCTCTACGTGCTCTTCTGAATAGACACGCACACCCCATAACTTGTGCCCTATTTCAGGGGGGAATGGAGAGAGCAGGTGTTCTTACTTCCCTCCCGTTTACTGACGTGGGGAGCGCAGCCCCCAGACAAGAAGCTGCAGACTGTCTGAGTAACATCAACCAGGGAAAAACGAAAAATCTCTCTGCTCCTTTTGTTTCAGGGGAGTTGGAAGTATTGACGATGGGCTGCTTGGGCTACAGCCTAGAAAGCAGCGGTCAGCTCTGTCGCCACGGTAAGGTTACAGATGCCAGGTCACGGTGCAGAGGGCAATCCAAGACCGGAGCACTTACGAGACTCCCCAAGATCATGGGATAGGAGGTAACTGCAGCCCAGAGAACCCAAGGGTCTTCTCCCCAATGAGGATCTTCCTCAACATCACATTCTCCCTGAAAGGTCAAGTTTCAGCCTACAAACACCCTTTAGTCAAGGGATCTTGGCAAGCAACATCAGCAGATCATATAAACATGAGCAGTGACTCCCTGGGGAAACCAGATCTGCAAATCCCATCTATACTCTTTCGGCTCTCAGAGAGTTAACCTGAAGTTTTTCTTCCTGAAATGTTGAGAAAGATGTCAGTGTTACTTCAGAGTACACACCCTGTGGTGTCCTGCCAGAGAGTTGCTGGCTTTGGATGACCGGGGTCCCAAACGGAGCCCTTCCAAGGGAGAACATTCAAGATCTGCCCTCAGGCAGAGGGGAGGACAAGGTGGCCTTACCTTCTTGTCACTGAGGCCGGTCACTTGGTCCACAAATTCCTCCTGGATCATGAAGGCGGCCAGGTTGGCCGTGTAGCTGGCCAGGAAGATGACGGCAAAGAAGGCCCACACGGACACCATGATCTTGCTGGTGGTCCCTTTGGGGTTCTGGACGGGCACGGAGTTGTTGAACACCAGGCCCCACAGGAGCCATATCGCTTTCCCAATCGTGAAAGAAGGCCCGTGGGGCGCTGCAAACGACAGAAGGAACGTTCTCAGCGCTTCCTCAACACCGGGCTAGGACCTGGCAACACCTGCAGGTGTGATGAGCCTTCGCTAACTACAGGGCGCCAGAGGCGGTGCTGAGTTCCGGAAGGCGGGGTTATGTCACGGCAGTCGCCTTCATGGCCCGGGCCCATCGCCACCGTTAGGCCTTTTCTTTAAAAATTAGCATTCTTCTCAAAGTTTTACCTAGCTGGGTTCGTGTGTCTGTGTGTGCCACGAGAAAGGAAGAGAAAATAGTTATGCAAAATGTGGGTTTGAATGAGAGGTAGTGTTATGACCTGTTTTAAATCTGGGTTTGATTTCCATTTGGGGGAACCAATCTCCTCCATAAATGCAAAGACAGCCTTCCACGGACGTGTGCGTGGGTGTTGCAGTATTCCTTGGCAGTGCAATCAGAGAGGAGCCAGGCAGCTCCACAGGGCCGATGTTTGGTATTCTCATCCTACGGTCTCTAGCAATTGCTCCTGTTAAAACTCAGATGGAGTGTCTGCACAGTATAGGAATTAAACGCAACTAACACCGTCTCCAACTGGAGACATCAAAAAAGGAACAATAGAGCTTAATTCTTCCAGCACGTCACAGATGGAAGACATTTGGTTGCAGGGTTACGGAGAAAGCACAGCACTTTTTCTCCCTCTATGCATCCTCACCAGATCTGTGTGTCTCTTTGAAGGGCCTTCAATGTTCCTTGCGATATACTGAACTAAGGAGGCAGAGCAGTACGCCCGAACACGCTGGGGTGGGGCATGTGCAGGCTGTAAAATGCACATGCCAGGGCCTTCAAGTCCTTTTGGTGCAAGGGGAACAATCAGTGAATGCTCTCAGTTCATGGGAAAAAGGGTCTTCCTGACCAGAAGGTTAATTTTGATGTCATTTAAGTAAATGAAGATATGAAAATATGATCTACTCAGCGTTCAATTGGCAAGGCAAACAGCGTGGGCAATAAATATAGTGGCACAAGTGAATTCAGGTTGATGGACGTTAAGGCGGTTCTGGGCAGGCAGCCTAGGAGAGAGAAGCTCTCCGCACACTGGGGGCCAGATCGGGCTCCACCACGGCCACCCTCCATAGGCACCTTAGGGAAGGCAATTAATGCTATTATTTTCCATCTCCACCTCTCCTGTTCCTCTTTGGCTAGTTTTATAATCTCCTGGGCTTATTCCCAAGGGCGGAGAACAGTCAATCCAGTTAACTTCATGAACGACGTAATTTTATTAGAGATGCATGTTGATGAGAAGGGACAAAGATTTGGGGATCAGAAACAGCTGCAAGGGATCTGTAGAGGCTCCTGGGAATTCCCGATGGCTGGATACTATGACTAGGGCCATATACTTTCCCCTGTAAAGTGCAATGAGATGTGACTGAAAACCCTTTTGCATAAAGAAACAAGTGGGTGTCATTTCCTGAGCGTTACCATATGTGGATGAGCAGGAAATGAAAAGCCTCCAGGTAAGGGAGGGTCTCAGAGGGCTGCTCCATTCCTCTTTTCACAGTGGTCTGCCAGGTGCCCTTCTGCCAAGGAAGTTCCTGCACAGGATGGCCTTGTCACGGCGTTTGGCCTTCGAAACAGACCTCCCTATTTCCATCGCTAGTACCGCGTCCCAGTCTAAAATTGTAACCCTTCCCCTGGGAAGCTGACCCTCTTCCTAACGGGCCTCCCTCCTTCTCCCACTGCCTGCTCTTCCCTTACCTTGATGTAACCTCACTGACCGATCTACATAGCACATGTTTCCTAAACTTTGTTTTGAAAATTTAAATGCAACACACTGTTCCTCTAACTTCCCCATATCCTTGTCCATCCCACTCGTGACTTTTCTGCCTCCTGAGCGGATCAAGACAGGATCCTTAACATTGCTGTTCCCTCTGCGTGGAACGCTTTCCCCTATTTCCCATCTGCTGGGTCCTTCTCTGTTCAGGTATCGGCTCAAATGTCTTTTCTTCTGAGAGTCCTCCCTTGTTACAATTGTACCCAAAGGACCCCCCCCCCCATTTACATTCTTTTCCCTTTCTACCAGGGATTTAGTACAGCCTGTGATTGTTAATTTGTGTGTTTATATAATGGTCTTCAAGCTAACTTCTCAGTCCCACAGGGCCCAGGCGTCTAACCTTTATTCCCTGGCGCACTACAGTGCCTGTCATAGTACCGGCTCAATAAATGTCCATCGGGTGTATGTGTGAATTTGCAAGCAGCTCAAGGTCTGACTATACACACATAAGGACTGACTATGCTGAACTGTGATCACTCACAGAAAGTGAGGGCCTCAGACTCCATTATGGGAGGCTCCCTGCTCTCTCCTGATTAGTTCTGCCACCCTTTTCCCGAAGGCTGACGATTCTCCCACTTAAACACAACATGATTCTTTATGCCAGTTGGACCATGGTTGGCTGATTGAAGAGGGTTTATATAGTAATCACCACTCTTCCATGGCTAAGAAGTGGGAGGATTGCAATAAAACTAAGTTTCTGACAAATCCCAATGACCTGCTGACTGTTTCTGATATTAAGCCTTCCAGGTGAACAGCATATGCAGCAAATTAAGCCTTGTCTTTGAATGGCTATGCCTTGAAGACCCATTGTCTGCCACCATCTCAAATCATTTCCCAGGAAGAGATTGGGTCCTGGCATCCTTCTGATTCCGTCCACTTAGAATGTGTGGTGTGTTGAGGAAAATGCACTCAAAATGATGTAATGTGTTTATGCACGAACCTGGCTTGTGTGGGAGTTCTTAATGAGTTACAGCCAATGAACACCTCCCAATTCAATTTGCCATCTACTGACTGCCACTTTATCAAGTACAATGCACTAAGGTCAGACACTGTCGAGAGGAAAATGGAACAATTTGGGGGAAAATACTGCTTTATATTTATTGTCAAGCAAATGAAGTATGATTCAGTGGCTTAGAGAGAGTTCTCAAACTTGATTTTAGGAAGGCATTTTCTTTGCATAAACTGAAGCTGAGATTCATTTCAATTTCAACATTTCTTTTGACACACATGTTCAAAATTAATTGTCAGAAAACGTCTTCAGATGTCAATATACTGAATATCAGCAGTTTTCACCAAACACCTAGTGATACCACAGTCTAACATGATTAAAATATTCCACTGAAATATTTTTTCAATGAATTTTTTTTTTCAGTTGAAGAGACTAATCCATACCTATATGGCATTGCAAGGGATATCAATGACCCAGCAGACCCAGCACCTCTCAAAGGCTAGACTAATGAGGTGATATAGGATGGTTGTTTCAAATCTGAAATCCTCACTGAAAGAGATAAATAGCATCAACTTTGAATTTTGCGTAAGAGGGGGACCTCACCTTTCCCTTTGGCTAAGTTTCTGTTGTAACCCACGGGACTGAAGTATTCAAAGACGAAAACAGCAATGGCGGACACGATGAGCAGCATCACGAACATCATCACCCAGACGGAAGCGCTGAACGGCTCTGTAAAAAGGCCAGAGGATGGGAGAGGGTCAGTCAGTTCTTCCTCACAGCCAGGGCCAGCAGGAAGCGCAGAGGTCCAACTGCCAGCTCACTGAGAAACTCCCCCTAATGTAAATCTGATCTTCTAAAGGAAGCTGGTCTTGTTCCTCCACATTTTAAGTCATTCTTTAGTCTACAAATATTTGAGGTACATTATAAGACTGCATGTAATGGGATAAAAATAGAGAAGACCACATGACATTTACAAATCAGGTCGGGGAAATATAAAAAACAAAATAGAATGGTACGATCAAGGGAGAAAACTGAATGCAAACAAAGAGGCTACCAGGTCTATGTAACTATAGAATCATCCAGGGGACCAGAGCTGGGGATAAATAAGACCACATTTAAATAGGCAACCATCAGCCTCCTGCAAATCAGCATGGGTTTATTTTCATTTTCACTTTCTGGAGAAAGATGTTCAGGGATTCCAGAAGTACAGGGATAATTATAACTTGTTTAAAAAGGACCATAAAATTGTGGAGTTGACAAGAATATTAGGAGGCTCATAGCCTGCCACCACTATAACCACACTCTCCATTTCACCTTTGCCCAGACATAGCAGATCTCTACATTTAAATGCTTAGAAAAAGGAGCCCTCGTGCACTGTTGGTGGGAACATAGACTGGCCCAGCCCCTATGTATTCCCCTATGTAGGTCCAGCACCAGTATGACGGGTCCTCAAAATATTAAAAATACACCTACCATATGATCCAACAACTCCACTCCTACGTACCTACCCAGAGAATGCAGAATCACTAATGTGAACGGATATAGGCACCCCTATGCTCACTGTAGCACTAGTTACAAAAGCTGGTTATGGAAACAGCCCAAGTGCCCAATGACAGATGAGTGAATAAAGAAGATATGGTACATATACATGGTGGAGTACTACTCAGCTATAAAAAAGATGGGCTCTCGTCATTTGCAATAAATTGGATGGAAATGGAGGAGATTGTGCTTAGTGAAATAGTCAGAAGGAGAAAGACAAATATCTGGATGATTTTACTCACATGTAGGATCTAGAGAAACAATACTTCACTCACATGTAGGACATAATACAAAGGAATTGACAAAACCAAACTAAACAAAACTTGTAAATAGGACTGCAGAATTGAGGTTTCCAGAGGGAAAGAGAATGTAGGGGTGGGAATGAGGACGGAAGGGGCCCAATGGTCTATGGTAAAGGTCTCTGAAGGGCTTTGATTTTTTGGTGTGGTGTGACCTCCATCTGGCTGCGAGCCTTTTCCCTTAAGACATACACAGAGTTGTAAGCTAAAGTTACCTCAATGAAACATATACAATAACGACAATAAAGTCCTGTTGATGTTGGTAATGGGCTAGTTGCAACTGAAAAAGACATTTGAGGATATTCCATTCTTATGACAAAGCAGCACTTAAAAAGTATGAATTAGTAGGCATCAAAGGAGTAATGGGCCTATGGTAATCTCCTCTCAAAGCTGTTTTCACCAGTTATTTTCATGTAACTCAGGCAAGAGGCGGATGTGTGGGCAGGGCAGCCAGGTCACAAGGTGCTGAATCTTAGAACCTCTACAATTTAAGAGTTGGAGCAGTTACTTCTAGGACAGTATGTAAATTAAATTAAAATTTCTATTCAGTCTGAGTTAGAATATAAAATGAGCTGGATGGAGTTATTTTATTCATGTATGACATAGTTTTCTAGGTTATCAACAGAGACTGAAATTCCATAAATGAAAGCATCTCCATCTAGTGCATTATTGCAAAGAGCCTGCCATTGGACACTGAACTCATAATCCTTTACATCATAAGCAAACATTTTCTACAGACAAAATATAAGAAGCGCAATGTTCATTGAATAGTGGACATTTTATTTTCTAAACTGCTTTTCTGATAAAGCTAGTAATAACCATAAGGAACTAGGCTTACAGCAGCCACCTTCTTATTAAAGTCTGTTCCCTCCAAACACAGCGAGAGGTCATCACAAATCCCAATGTAATAATACATAACAAGAAATTAACACATCTGAAATTTGAACTATAGTGTATAAGGAAAAAACCAGAAGCCTTTTTTTTTTTTGGTGAAGGATTGATAATGCAAATTTGCCGAACTACACCACAAAGCAACAGGCAGCAACACAACTTACTTGACTTAAACAATGTAAGATGAATGCAAAAAATTCATTAAGACCATAACTGAAATTTATCTTAGTTAAATCTAGCTCGAGTAACAAACAATGCTATGTCCTTGAAATCATAGCAATTTGGTAATGAGGTGTATCCAGAAAAGAGGAGAAATAGAAGAATAATTACACAATTAAAAATTACTTAATATTCAAAAACAGAAGTTAAAGTAATTCTCCAAGTGGAGTTTACTAATGACATCGAGGAGGACACACTGATGAGTGTATTGTGATGAGTAAATAAGCAAACACATACAAAGTGTTTGGTGTTGTGAGCTGCATGCTGTGTACACAGATTAAATGGAATATCTGATTCCAGGATTAAAGCCAGAATGGGTGTTGGCTGTGTGCTGTCCAGGGTCCTGAAAAAGGCATCCACGCATACTAATTAATCTGTTAACTTCCTTTTCTCTGCAGGCTGTGATGACATTGTAAAAATATTTTGCTGTTCACATGTCAGAATCTGGAAACCTGCAGTGGGCTTCACTGACAGTCGGTGCATCCTAATCATTACTTGATCAGAAAATTAGGTGGGAGCTGACCAAGCACGTGTCTCCAAATGTTTTCTCACTTGGAAATGACAAACATCTGTCCTTTGATTTGAGCAGGACACAGACTGCATCAGAACAATGGTGAGACACTGTCTGTAGTTTGGGAGGAGTGACCCAGAGATATTTTTAGTTAGTTCTTAGTTTGGATTACACCCTCTACTGGCTTAAAGCAGATTCAACATTTGTCTGTGAAGGAACTTCAATGCAGGAGACTCCAGGTCAGCGTTTATTTGGATCAAAGAAAGCAAACTGCTTGGAAAGTCTTCAGAATTAACTGAATGGAAATATGGCAAGAGACGTCATCTCTGTCCTTGAAGAGTTGCTAGTTACATTTTTACACAAACGCTCAGAGGCATTACCTGCAAGTGTTTCTGATGTGAGTTAATGGGGAGAGAATAGGAAATAATGAAGAGCAATGCAATCAGATTTTGAATGTTTTGGCTCTTCCAGATAACTGAGCCAGTGAATGGAAAAATGTAGCTTAGCACGGTTCATTATGACTTTGAAAACCTGCATATAATGACCATAAATAAGGGGCACACAATCAATAGAGTAGGGATGTAATTTAGTGATGAGGAAAAATATTAAGGCTAGTGTGTAAAACAGCTTTGGAAATGGTTTCCTCTGGCTGTAATTTATTTTACCTTATTTTAAAAGATATAGCAGGAAAAGTAGGGGTAGAAGGAGGTTTGGCTATATTTAGCAGAGAGATCTGACTTTTTAATGGAAATGTGCTATTAATGCAGGTAAGATAAAAAATCTAGGGTAACTGGGTTGAGGCCAGATTCAGTATTAGTGACCCGACCCATTTTTATGAGAAAAGCCAATTGATAGTTTTTTTTTTCTCTCTGATGTAACAAAAATAAAGTTCACTCTAGCTCACAAAGGGGACATGTGACCACTTGTGAAAAGAAACAGATCTCTTTCTATTTTCTTCTCCCACACTTTCTTGGCTTTCTTGATAGATCTCTGTTAGAAGGTCTGATAGAGAATGGGGGGGAATAATGACTGGAATAACTAATAAGTAAGAGCGATCCCAATCATGCCAACATTCTGGAGGCATTGTTCCACCAGGCAACTGCCGCATGTTATGAGGCTCCCTCATAAAGGGAACAGGTGAGGGGTGCAGGGTGCAGTTGCCAAGTGTGACTCCAACAAAGGTTATAAAAATAGAAGCAAAGAGTATAAAATCAAGTCCAGTGACTGGTATGGATTTCAACAGCTTAAATGGTTATCACAATGAAAATAGTAAAGACATACAGGTATTTCTGTGAGTAAGGAAGTATCCAAAATCCTGATAGTCAACATTTCACTCTAGAGAATGAAGCATAAAAAATTTCAGTGGAAGCTGACACGCTAGTGAAGAAAGTGATGATTAAAACAATGGGCTTGGGTTTGGTGTTCACACTTTACCTCTTGTCTGCAGGTTAGGTTCTAATGCATAAAAGCTTGATTTCTTTTGTCTCTGGGAAAAAAGTAAGAAATGGAGTTCACCTCAAACTGTTGTCTTTCTTGTATAGTTTTCTTCGGGGGGGGGGACTGAAGGTTGGGGGAGGGTGTAAATATCTGTCTAAATCTTCCCAAATTTGGGAAAAATATGGTAGTTAACCTGAATTTTATGACCTTCAAGATAGACACCACCAAAGACTACATACGATAACCAAATCTCAACACAATCATTTCCTTTAAAGAAAAAATAAGTAATGCTTGGCTATGTTTGTCCAGTTTCAACTAATCTAGCCAGCCTGCCACAGCACTAAAGAAAGCCAGATGATAGGACATATAAACCAACTTTGCTTACAAAATGAAAAACCTTTTATAGGAAAACATAAATTTATGGACTAGTTAAGAGAGTTAAAAATAATGTCCACTTTTACAAACAACGCAGCTTAAAGGACAAACACATTTAAAACATGGTCCCATTCGTTTTAAATCAGTGTACACTCTTCAGATTACTTGCATTTTGTTTCTTAGAGCACCAGGATAAATCATTGTGAGTCATGGTTATTTTCATTCTTATATCTAGTAAATAAATTGCTATCATTCTAGTGAAGGACGGCAGATCGCAATGTAGATGCTGAATAAAGGCTTATGGTATGATTTAAATTAATTGTGGACAGGTTTGTTTGCAAGGCTCTGAGATATATATCTACTAATCTACATTCTAAATAATCAAGACCCACATCTGAATATGTGGTTGTATTTTCAGCAGATATTTTCCAAGGAAAGATGTTAAGGGGGGGTGGGGGAGGGATGTGATTAGGATCATTCAAATGCAACTTGCTTTGGAGTATGCTGATGTGGCTAAATGGACTTGAGCAAGGTCCCATCTGGGGCCACGATTTGAGCAAACCGACACACCACCTACCCTTCATTGCTGGCAAGCAACCGTGAACATGACGTTCACTTACCTAGAAAGGCAGAAGGGGAGACGGTGCCATTGCTTCTAGAGACCATGACACTGATTCCTGTCTCCACGAAGGGCACAGAGAAGTCCACCACTTCAGAACGCTCCTCGTTGATGGTGAGTGAGCCCACTGCCATGACGGCCCGTTGATAGACCACCTGGATGCAGCCAGAAAAAGAACCTCACCTTTACCTGTGCTTCCCACCAGCCCTGGGGATTGCATCCTGAGTCTGCTTGAGAGCACGTGGGGTGAAAATAGAACTTACTTCACCGATCATTCCATTCCACACATTGTTCACTTTCTTGCCATGTTTCCCATTAGTCACCAGGTAAAGGTCATAGGTAAACTTCACAGTTCTGGAAAGCTTCTTGAGGATATCAATGCAGAATCCCTTGCAACATTTTTTCACATTCATTCCTTCATTGGTTGAATTGCTGGAGAGAAAAATCCCGAGACCGTAGCATATTAGTAATGGAGAATTGGTTCACAATCATTAGCTACAGTCATCTACTAATTTTCATTTTCAGACTCCAGTGAGAAAGTGGTTTTCCCAAGGACATGCAGGGAGTTTATGACAGTGAAAGTAAAAGGTGTTCTTAATTATACAGTAATTGTGACAACGGCTAACATTTATTGAGTAATTACTATTTGTATGCACTACGTTAAATGTTTTATACTAATTGTTGGATTAATCTTCATGACATTTCTTTGCTCTTAGCATATTTGGATCTGCATTATAAGGTGAGAGTTACCACCTCATACTTTGAAGAGTTTATAATACATACAACCTCTTTGAACCCGAGTTTAGTCATCTACTGTCATCTGAATTCAGTCTAACTGCATTATAAGAACTTACTGGAAAATGGAAGATAGAAGGATAAAACTATCAGGTGAAAAAAGGTTCAGATTTATCCTATCACTGCAGAGAGAAGTTTGCAACCAAGTGGAAGAACTGAGGGTGACTTGCTTGGGAAAGGCACTTTCCTTAGTAAGGAAAATGCTTCAGCTAAGAATCAAGAGACCTGGTGTTGCTCTGCCTCTGAGTCCATGGACTTAATGTCTCTTGATGGAGTCATCTGTCAAATGAGGTCTCATTAATAACATTTTCTTTCCCTACCTACGTGACAAGAAGTGTAAAAGGTGACTGTTAAACAGCAGTGTCCTTGAATATGAAAAAGCCCTTAAAACATGCTGTCTGAAAAATTATCTTATAATCTACCAAGGGTCCCTTTATTGCTTTGTGCCAGTCACTTTGCTTCATATACTTGGCCAAGTCTAACTCAAAGGACACACTCAAAAAATCAGGAATGCCTTTCAAAAGGAAGGAAACAGGGGTCTTCCCAAATGACAGTAAAAGGTACTCAGACGCCTTGCATAGGAAGACCTCTGGGCAGTGTGTGTATGTATTCTATATTGCTCTGGGTCATCCCACCGGCTCAGCACTATGCATGCATGACCTGTGTTCTGTATGAATGCTCCATGGTTGGCTGATCTACATATTGGACTATTTACCTGAGCACTGAAATGATGTTGATGGAAAGTCAACATCATAATGGAAAAATACTTTTCATATTACATGATACATGCTGAATGATCATAGCCAAATAAAAGCCAATGAATTTATGACAGATCTGTGCAGAAAAACAATGAACAATGAAGAGCTGCTTTTCAATGGTAAGAATATTTTTCTCTTGTTCACATTTTTCAGGGTTCCCCCCAAATTACCGGCCATGAATACACTGCACTAATCGTGGAGCACCACTGATGTAGATATCTACCTGTAGCCACGATACGGGTTAACTTGACAATGTGACTTTGGTAATGGAAGTAGGTTGCAAAATGGCACCATTTTTTCAGCATTTCCTTAACCCAGACTCACAGCTCATTTCTTCTAAATCACGAATCATCCCCTGCCCTCCTGCTGTCCTGTTCCTGACCCCAGCTCAACCAACCTTCTTCTGCCAGTCAAGACTACCACACCGCCATGGAGACTTTCTTCTCTCCTCTGGAGGCTGGGTGACCTGCTTTGGCCCTGCCACCCTCTGCGTGGGGGTACAGGAGGTCACAGCTACACTTGCTCACATTGAGGATGGCTGGACTCAATGCGGGAGGTAGATACCTTCCTATCCCCACCAATTTTCTAGGGTGAAGGGGCCTATGCTGGACATCGAGCTGCCATAAAAATTGTCAAAATGTGTCCTAAGTGCACCAAATTTGTGACATGTCCAAATACGATTTCTTTCTTGAATCCATCTGTTTTTTTATAAAATGGGTTAGCCTTGGATTCTCTCCTTTTCTTCCTTCATGATAGGCCATGCCTCCATGCCTCTCCTCTACCTCTTCCCACTCATGTCTCCTTCCCTCTCACTCTCACAGCCTCTTCCCTCACCCAGCCAGGTTTCCCAGGACAGTTCGGACATACATTTTTAGATTCAGGTACACAGGGAACCTCACTTTGTCCTCACAGGGAACCTCAGCCAGCTAATGAGTTAATAATCATCCCCAATGTAAGAAATACCCACTCTGTGTAAGACATGGAGTGAGATCTTGCGCAAGAAGGCCTGCAGCAAGGTCAATGCCTGAATTCATCACGGGGTTATGGAGACACGGACCAGATTATACATTGGAACTTTTGCTGGTTCCTATCACAGCCTGTGTGTGTGTGTGCTGGGTGTGTGCCTCACCCACACAGACATCTGAGAGGTCCTCACGAATGTCTCTCAGTTCTCTACCTTCACCCAGAAGAGCTCATAAAACAAATATGGAGGAAAGGGCTCCAGTAAACCAGCCAGGTCTCTGGTTCTACAGTTCCCCAGTATGGCCAGCGCAAACAGGGCGACTTTACAGGTCAGACTGAGTTGCTCCCACATCCTGGGTCTGCTTCCAACACTCATGGGAATGTGGGTGAGCGTCTTCATTTGCCAAACTGGTTTACTCATCTGTCAGTTGAGCAGGCTGACTCTCGTAGGATAGTGGGGAAGATGAAATCTAAAGTGTCTTCAGCACCTCTCACATCAATCCTTAAAAATATATTTCCTTTCTGTTCACCGAGGATCTCACAGCTTTGTGGGCTTAGTTGACAGCATGGCCATTTCTCTCTACATATCAAGTCAGATCACTCTCCTCAATTTTCCCTTCATTCCTAACAGCCAACTAACTGGTTGGAAGAAGTCTGATTTCTCAGTTCACTCCCTAGCACCTGGTTTTGTTTTGTTTTGTTTTGTTCTTGCTTAGAAGACCCTTACGGCCCCATTTATCCAAAGTGAGAGACAGAGAAATTTCCCTTGGAAAGTATCACTCATGAAAAATATCATAATGTTAGCTGACAGGAATCCATTTTTTGGAACCAATCAGTCTGCTTCTAAGATGCTACCTTCAAGAAAAGAAATGTAAGTAATCTGTGTTAATGTTGGGATTAATGGATCTTAGTTATTTTCTATTGTTTTCAATTACATGCAGACTTTTTCTCATGTAAGGTGGCCTAATGAAGGCTGCTCCATTGAGGATGTTATCATAGAGCAGGTGCATTACTGGGGTTATACTTCTGACTTGGTGCCAACCATTTTGTGTCTTCATCTGCCCACGTTGGCTCCAAGAACACCCACCCCAAAACAAAATCTCCTCTGAAGACTCCCTGCATCACCTTCTATCTCTCTCCCAGCTCATTTCTCCCGAGCACTGCATTAGGCTCCATTCTGGCTCCCAAACTCGCCAATCTCTTGCCGGCCATGGACCTTTGCACTTGCTGCTGCCTCTACCTGCCTCTACCTCTTCCCTTCACATGCCTGACTCCTTCTCATCCTTGATGTGACCTTAAATCCTACCTGAATAAATTAATGGAACCCCACACCCCCCAGTGAGTCTCCATACCACCTTATTTACATCCTTCACAAGGTTTATCATAGCATGGAGCTGTTTCTTTATTGGCTGTGTGAATGATCCATGACTGCAAGATCCCTGCCTTCCATCTTCTCTGTTACTAAACCCCTGATGCCAGCACTGTGCCTGATAAGTAAGCTGTGTTTAAAGCCTATTTATTGACTAATCTATTCAGAATGTCAGCTCCAAAGAGGCTGACAACTCCAAAAGGCTAATCATTATTTATTGAATAATCTATTCAGAATCCCCATAACCAAAGAACTGCTCCATTGATGAATTTTTTCCTCCAAACTAAATATGCCTCTATCATACATACAGAAATCATCTTTTAAAAAAATTATCTGTATCCCAAGTGCTGAGCTCTGGGGATTTGAATCTTGCATAATAGTGACTTGGTTTGGAGTTTGCAATGTGAGATATCTAGGTATCCTCTCACTCCCTGTTCAGTCATCACCAACATTGGTGATCATGTTCTGTGCTTGTTCCCAGGGCTACAAAGATTAATAAGCCACCTTCTCTATATTTAGGCAGCTCATAACTCCAGAGGGAAAGAGAAACTGTGAGTGATAAAATGGTGATAAAGATAAACTATGCTATGGGTAGATAGTCATGTTTCCCCCAAATTACTATGTTCAGACCCTATATTCAGCGTAATAGCGTTGGGAGATGGGGCCTCTGGAAGATAACCAGGACAGTAGGGTGGATTCCTCATGAATGGGATGAGTCGCTTTACAAGAAGAGAGGAGAGGACTGGTTTTCTCTCTTTTTACTCTTGGATCCAGTGAGAAGGCCAATTGCAAACGAGATGGCCCTCAGCAGATATCAGATCTCCACCACTTTCATCTGGACTCCCCAGTGTCCAGAGTTGGGAGGAGAACTGGGTGGTAAGCCACCCAGTCTGCAGAAATTTATTACAACAGCCCAAACAGACCAAGATGTAGAGACATGGCTGGGGCGCCGTGGACATAAGCTAATCCAGATTAAAAGGCCAAGGAAAAAGAGGGAATTGAAAGTGCTCAGAAAAATAGTCAATTTCCATCCAACCACAGCCTTTTCCTGGTGTGAATTTCCCACAAGGATGGCCTTCCCTCTTGATGTCTACATTCTCCTTGACCATAATCAGGGCCTTGGGCTTGACTGCGAAGCTTTATGCTTCTCCAAAGGGCTTATAGATGAGGGAAATCCTTCACGAGAGACTTCTGAAGACAAAAGTCAAGTCTTTAATGGTGAGCAAAGAGGAGACGACAGCTCTGCAAAGCTCACGGCTGCTACTGAGGAAGGAAACCGGGAGATCAGAGCCCACCAGAAAGTCCTGTGGGAGGTGCATATTGACCCCCAAGTGGAAAAGTTTTGTAAACTTTGAATCTGGGAAATACAAAAATGATGTAAAAATGTTGAAAGATGCCGGTTGGGAGAGCAGCCAAAAATAAGAAAGAAATCACTACTCAGGCAAAGCTAGAAGGCAGCGCGGATTCAGCATCATGGTGGGGACCAAGGCTGGGGGGCCACCTCCTCCCCCACTTACTAGCTGAGTGACCCTGACTTGCATCGCAGTTGTCCCCAAACTGCTTGCCATGTTTAAAGTGAGCAAAACCCTCTACCTTCCATGACTCGTGTTGGAATTAAATTATGCAAACTACTTGGTGTGGTTCTATGTGTTTAAGCCTTTTAGAGAATTGTTTCTATCATCCCTCTCATCAGAGAATCTACTTTCTATTTCATAGTTTTATGCTCGATATCGCTGTTATGAATGACACCAGCTCTTTCAAATGACAAGTGACCGGGCACACCCACCCACCAGTGTCCTCAGACTCACTTGATCTTGACGAACTTCCGACAGGGCACCGTGCTCCGCACACACGTCTCGGTCAGTGGGTCTATGTCCTCCACGATGACGAAGGGGGCCTCCTCCAGGGTGACGATGCTCAGGTGGTTGTCGTCCGGCTCGCAGTCCGAGAAGGACTTGTACCTGGGCCACACTGCGTGCCTCAGGCTTAGCGTCTGGTTCTCCCACTTGCCCACCTGCATGGGAAAGACAAAGACACGCCTGTGTTTCCTGGTGCCACCATCTTCTAGAAAGGCAAGTGCTCCCCACACGAGAGTGGGAGAAGAACCCGGCGGTCCTCAGGTCTTTTCTGCTTCTCACCTCCATGTCCACATCTGTCCATAGATTAAGAAAATGGAGCGAAAGGGGGAGGAGAATCAGGGGGTGCTGCATGCCTGGGCTCTTCCCAGACTAATTAAATAGGGGGGTTCTTCCTGGGCACTGATATTTTTAGGGCTCCCTGGATGATTCTAATGACCTGCCAACGTTTGGAACCACCAGTGCTTTGAAAATGTCGTAGGCTTCCAAAATGAGAGCGACCTGGGAGAGAATCATGCCGCCGCCACTGATACCGTATGACCCCGGGCAAGCTCCTAACTGCCATCAGTGGCTCCTCATCTGATAAACAGGCACAGTGTCACCTGCTTTATAAGGCTGGTACGGGAGTGACCTAGGGCAGTTTGTGAAACGTACATAGCACACCTCTATGCACAGGTAGGGATGCCACGTTTTTCTGAGGAGAGGACAATGGAAAGGAGAAAGGTACAAAATACAAAGGTGTTAGAGAAAGGAGGAAATGAAGGTGCCCCAGGAGGAGCATAGAGGAGAGAAGATGGCGGCAGTGACAACAGCAGGGGACGGAGCGTGAGGAAATCACGAGAACCATCATTTCCAGCTCTGAGGCAGTCCTATTTCAGTTGCAAATTGAGGTGAACTTTTATTAAAATCTGGCCAGAGTGGAGACTTCTGCTGCTTAGCGTACATCAAGACCTGTCAAAACAGAATCGATTGTGTTCTCTCCGAGCAGCCGTCGGCATCTTGGAGAAATCAAATTGAAGGCTGTATGTTTTGAAGCTTAATTTTATTTGGCAGCTCATTGGCACTGTTCACATGCGCACGGGGAGCAGGCTGCCCCCACGGCGTGTGTCCTCCTTCCTCCTGCTTCCACGCACTACTGCTTGACCTCACAGGTCAGTGCTTTATTTGTAACACCAACCTCAAGCAAAACACCTCCTCTGAAAAGCTCCAGGCTTGTCTGTGTTGATGTGACCCCTCACCTCTCCTCCTGTAATGCAAGAGTCACCAGACACGATCTCAGGCCCGTAAAGAGAATTCAGACACGGGGACAGCAGGAGAGATGACGGGGTGGGGCGGGGTGGGAGAAGGTAGCGCTTAGATGAGCTCATCCTCTGCACTGGAAAATTCTTGCTGCTTGTAGAGAAACATCCCTTGTGGCCAATTACAAAATGGCCGGCTATGCCGGTATGTTCCTTTTTAGATAGGGAGGGCAATAGAGGAATTTGATCAAACACGCTCATCTCCCCAAGCCGAGATGTGTAACAGGAGCGGGGGAGAAGGTCGGAGTCGAGCATATTCTTCCTCTTCCAGCAGAGGTTCGGAGCACCCTCCTGGGGCCGCACCAGTCTGGAACTTGACAGCCTGGCCCCAGCCTTTGGCCACCATGAGCTAGCAAGTTCCCCCTATGCAGACTATCTCTGTGAGTCAACATGCATTGTTCCTCCACTGGGGAAGAGGGGTGTTTCTGTGGTGGACACACTGGCTGAGGACATGAGCCCTCAGTTCCTTCACCTTGGGTTGATGTCAGTCTCCTCGCCTATGACAGGGATGCCGCAGGTGGGCTTGTGATGTAACTTCTAAGGTTTTTCAGATGTAAGGTCCTGGTGTGATCCGGTGAATCCTCTCACCCCCCCACACCTCTGGCCCATACCCCAGTTCTTAATTGCATCAATAAAGAAATCTCTAAAAAAATCAACAAAAACTTGGTCAGTGGAAACCTAGAGTACTGCTTAATCATTACCCCTCTTTGAAATCTGAATATGAAATGTCTTCATATTTTGAAGGTAAATAAAAGAACCTGTCTTATTATTGCTGTAAGGGCTGCATGAAATGGTGCAAATAAGTTATTCTGATTGCACTACTCCAAGAGCTTTAAATGTTAATTCAAGTAATTCTAAAAGTAGATCCATGAAAAAAAATACTATTAATAGTAACTATAACTAAAGCTAATAAAATATTATTATTCCCTTCAGTTCACAGATGAAGAAACCAAGGCATGTCGTTTCATTACCTTGTCCAAGTTCACCTGGCATGAGTGTGGTAGAGCAGGGGCCAAAATCGAAATTAATTTAAAAGACGCAGCTGGGCTCCCCTCAGCAGTGTACTTCGTCAATCTGCCTGTTCTGCTCCGCATTCTGTCTCTGGTGAATCCTCTCACCGCCCCTGCACCTCTGGCCTGTACCCCAGTTCTGTGTGCATCAATAAATCTTTGTTTAAAAATGCAGCTGTAAGTTCGTTTAGAGGAAGAGATTAAACTCTAGCATCCGGCACCCTGACAAGCATCATCCCGGCCAGCGGGCAAGTCTGCGGGGTGGCGTGAACCTTTGAAACGCTGGGGAGACGGGGTGCTGCCCTTATGTCTT